TTTTCCATTTTGCAAACTAATTTTGTTCTTGTCAGTTTCGATGCTCTGCCAAGTGGTGGATGGGACTTTCTAAATCAAAAACCACTAACCTCAAACCACAACCAGCCTGTGTCAAACTTCAGAAACTACTCCCAAACCAGAGCGTATGGTAATAATACTATAACTATTTGTAAAATACTGCCAAGCTTGTCACGTTTAGAAAATTCATAGCACGTTTTTGGCACATAAGCTACTCTGAATAACAGCGATAAAGATGTATATATAAAAATGTGTGTTTTTTAATGGCCCTATTTATTTTATTGATGCATAATAGCAGGTTAGCTAAGTCTCCATCATCAATCTCTATGGCTCAGGTGGAGATCAGATCCCTGCAAAACCAGTTGTTTATGTCTTTTAATCCAATTATACTGAAAGCCTTCAAAATTTATATAAAAATGCTGCGGACTTTTTCATTGCCGCAGGAGGGGGAAAGCGTGTTTCACCTACTGCAGCTGAGATACCTTGTTTTACTGGGGGAAAAGTCTTGAAATGTTCTAAGATTTATGGAGTCAAGTGCACCCCTGACAGCTTGTGAGAGTTGTCTCACTACCTGAGTTGCTTCACTGTGAATGGATAACCCAGGGGAAGCTCAAACCTTCACTAGAATTTAAAGCTGGAGTCTTAACCTCCAGGTCCCAGTATCTGAAAGAGTTGCTAGGAGCCTTGACAGGAGATTAGGAGCAGGACAGGGCCAGGAAATGATAAGGACGTCTATCGTGAAGGAGGAAGGAAGCAAGCTTTCAGCTTGAGAACTGATAGGAGAGAGAAGCCAGGTACAGGTAAATTTCCTGCAAAGATGGCAGTGGTGGGCATGAGAAGGAGGTATGATTATTTGGCAAGAGATGTCTTTCCCCCAGTAAGTTAAGTATGGGCTGATTTTACGGAAATCCAGCTGTCTTTCCCTATATTTGCACCCAGTCTGGTTCACACAGCCTGTTCCAATCACAGGCCCACACTGTTGGCCTGGTGCAACTTCATTCCGCCCAGCGTCTGCTGACCTTGCAGCACGGCCTGCTGCACAGAGGATCCCTTGATGGCTCTAACCAAACACGTGGCCGCATCCCAGATCAGTGGATACCTAGTCTCTACTTCACATAGACGTTTCCAACTATGTTCCGCTGGGTCCCAGAGGTGCTCAGCATCCCTGTTATTGGCCTCCCTGGCTCCATTAATTCGTTTCTGTCCTTATATATATATATTTTTGGTCTCCTAGTTCACTTCTCATACTTCCTCACCATTGTGCAACTTTCATCAGGGAAAAGGAATACCCGTTGAACACCCATGTAGCCCTTTCATAGCCAGGTGCCGTGGCAGTGAGTGCTTTCAGCTGATGCAACATGATGTGGGAGAAAGCAGAGTTTCAGACCCAGTTCCGTCCTGACTAAACCACTTTCTAGCTCTGTGACCTTGAGCAAGTGGTTTCACCTTGCTGAGCCTCAGTTTGCTCATCTTCCATGAGCTTGATAGTGCATGTTGCAGAGGGTAGTGTGTGGGTGAAAGGGACCGTGTATGTAAGTCATTAGCTCAGGGCCATGTGGCGGTTCACCCATGGGTCACCTTCCTCCCAGCCTTTCTCTTTTAACTCACTGCTCCAACACCTCAAATCTCTCCTGTTCTCTTTGTCTCAGAGAAAGAGGTAAGCCTACACCTCCCTAAGGCAAACTGGTCCATTTCCACCCTCCATCCCCACCCTGCCCTTTCTCCTGTCTGTAACTCTCCCTTTCCTTAGGCTTCATACCCTGAGACTACAAATATGCTCAAGTTTCTTTCATCCTGCAATGCATCCTCAAATTGCTTCCCCATCATGTTTTTCAAACTATCTTATGATCAGAAGTTCGTATCAATCCCTTGGCCCAAGATAGCCTGGAACTCTACAAACAGATGATTAGAAGGACGTGTGTAATCTTGGGGTTAGCCCAGTGGGGCACACCAGTATCAGGGTGGCCCTTTTCATTCAGGCAGAACCCCTCACTCCGCCAGAGGCATGATGCTAGTATTTGTAAGACTTTCCGCATTATTTCATCTCTCATCACATGTTTAAATACTCTTCAAATATTCTGAGAGGTTCCCAGAGTTGTTGTCTGACTTAAATTCCAGGAGCCTGTTGTTTCATTCACTGTTTTTTTTAAAAAGTGCTTTATGTACATCATTGACATAATCTCGTGTTCAGAACTGTGGACGGCCTGATCTCAACACCTTGTGATTATCATCCGATTTCTCTGTCCTGTGCAGAGGCGGGAACTGGGGGTGTAGAAACTGGAGAAACATCTGAGTGGAGGGAGGGCAGTCCTTTATGTGTCTCACATTTACTCCCTTCTTATTAAACAGCTCTGCATTCTTTGAGATATCACCTAACCCCAGTGAGAATAGCCCATATCACAAGGTCTCAAAGCTGCAGATACCCAGTGCTGGTGTGGAGAGAGGGGAACACTTAAGCACTGTTGGCAGGATTGCAAACAAATTTGCAATTTGGAAAGAAGTACCTAGATGCCTTGAAGAGCTAAAAATAGACCTTCATTCGATCCTTCAATCCCATTGCTAGGTACCTACTCAGAAGAAGAAAATCATTTCATCATGAGGACATTTGTACTTGAATGTTTTTAACTGTTCAACTCACAATTGCCATACGTGGAAATAACACAAGTGCCCCATCAACCCACGAATGGACTGATAACCTGTGGTATGTGTTAGGTGGTATGTATACCATGGAAAACTAGCCAGCCATAAAAAAGATGGAGACTTCGCATCTTTTGTATTTATCTAGGTGGATTTGGAGAATATTCCTAGTAAAATACCTCAAGAATGGAAAAGCAAGCATCCCATGTACCAACACTAAGTTGAAGCTAGTAGATTAACAGCAACAGGCCCACATGAGAGAAAACACATTTAACTGTACTCTCACACAAAAACTCTTAGCTAGAGGTAACCTGGCTGGCTCTTTGAGTGTCAGCACACTTCCCAGGGTGTGCCCCCTGAGGTCTACTATGACTGTTGAGGCCTTTCTCCTCTGAACTTTTTATGGCGTTTCTAGCTGAGCCATGGAGCTATGGCCTTGTAACAGCTCTTTCTTACCTTGCTGACTTGTTCTGTGATCTGACATGGTATGTGTGTATTTTCTCTCCCAGTTGGCCTGCAAGGTTCTGGGGAGTAGACGACCGTCTCTTCCCGCCCTCTGCCGTCCCTAATGTAGCCCTCGGCATAGTGCATAGTCATCACTCCATATGGCTCTTTTTCTATTCCCTCCCCAGGTCTCATCCCACTTCAACTGATTGTCAGTCTATTTCTGACAACTTTCCACAATGCCCCACAATTTTTTTTTTTAATTCTCTCTGTATCATTGGAAAACCTCTTCCTTGCAGACTTGGTTTCAGATGTGTCTTAGTAAGCATATTAGCTATTCCTTCTTCTAACCATTAATCAGCAAATCCAAGAATATCATAAATTCAATATCTGCCGTATGCAAGACAGTGGATCAAGTGTTTGCATTAAAGATTACAGAAAATTGGAAGATGTGGTGCAAAAGAGCTTATAAAATCACTTAACACCAAACAATATAAATAGTGCAAATTGATATAATGAAAAAGAATTTATGGAAAAGCCATTAGCATGAGTTGTACTTACTTGGGAAAAACTGTCTTGGAACAGACCATTCAAACCCAAATTTTGAAGAAAAGGAGCCCACAGCGTCCAAAAGAGCACTGCTCATGCCTGTCTTGGGTTGCCATCATTCCCCTCCCACCCCCACCATAGTGCCTGGTTTGTGTAGACATACAGTTAAATGAGATTGAATAAGTGAATAGCAAACTGCTGAAAATCCCATGTGGAGAGACCAGCTCATGCAAAACTAGCAAGCACATTATGCTTGAGAAACAGCAGATTTATTTTCCTGGGTGGAGCCAAGAAATTACACACAAAATGATGGAGAGGGAGGAGGAAAAAAATGATAAGTGGCATTGACGGTCTTGCCAAGATTTGGGTTTTAACAGCTAGTCACAAACTCTTTATTGTCCATTCCTCCATTTATTCTACGATTATTTATTAAACATCTACTATGTGCCAAGGCATTATGCTAAGACCCTGGGATTCTGTAGAAAGCAAAACACAGCCTCTGTCTTCAAGGAGCATGCAACCTTTTCATCAGGAAAGAGTAAGTGGTGTGACACATACTTACAAGCTGGTTATTGTTATTCTAACAGTACTGACTACAAGAGAGCAATTTGTCCAGCCCCAGTCATAGATAGCTCCAGCAGAGAATAGAGGCCTTAGTTAAAATGAGCTCCATTATAAACTACGTCACAATAACAGATGATTTGAAGGCAGCAAAGAGGGTTTGAAATTTAAGGAAGAACTTCCTGCCTAGAAGAGAAGATTGCCTGGGATTACAGAATGGCCGGTTGAGTAGCTATGAAACCAGCCTGAGTTTGTTTCCAGACCATGCAGCAGCCCAGGCCTGCCAGGTTCCTTGGCTTTGGCTCTAAATGATGAACTAAGAGAACAAAAAAAGAGAAGAGGTTCACGTTGATTTTTTCTTCTTTTTGTTGTCCAGAGTACCTTGCTCTTTGACCTATGTTCCCCAGGTCATGCAGAGTACCTTGCTCTTTGACCTATGTTCCCCAGGTCATGCAGAGTACCTTGCTCTTTGACCTATGTTCCCCAGGTCATGCAGAGTACCTTGCTCTTTGACCTATGTTCCCCAGGTCATGGTTGAAATAGATTTATTAGGAAAAAGAATTTTTACTATGAATTAGAAACAAACCTCTGAGGGTCAGATGACATAAAGTAAATTAATGTTAGAGCAGATGTGGAAATGAAGGAGATCGTGGGGCAGTACTTCCAACAATAGTGTTTCATAAGTAGCTATTGGTTGGTCCGCCTGTGACTTAGGGCCTCATTTTCCGTTTATCTCATTTTTTGTCTTTTTCTCTTTTCTTTCTTTCTTTCTTCTTTCTTTTCTCCTCCAGGATGATGGCCTCCCAGAAAATGAACATCAGCTGTCAGTAGCTGGAAAGATAAAGAAGCATTTCAACACAGGCCCCAAGCCAAACAGCTCAGCAGCGGGAGTCTCTGTCATAGCAGTAAGCATCTGAAATATCCACCTATAACTTTTAAAAGCAATCCACCTAAGAGACAGACATTACTCAGGAGATTCCACCCAGAGACAGCAGAATGGGTCATTTCTTTAGACAGCTCTTAACCACTTAATGCACTAGAGAAGGTATGGGGCTTATATATTAACTTGTTTTTTTGTGGTTCATTTCCCTGGGTGTCACATCATTATCCAACACCTCCAGGGTGTCTTGCAGTGTAATATTAATTTCATGACTTATTTATTTATTTTTAAAGCAGAAAACCTCCCCCACACTGGACTCTGTGCCAGTGCAAACTTTTTGGCTCTAAGGAAAACAGTTTATCGTGTTCTTTTGCTAAAACCTAGAAGCAAAGGGAAGCTGAGAGAGACAGCCTTGCAGAGAGACTCGGGAACACTAGAGCTCTCTCTGCTAGACCTGAATGAAAGCTAAGGCATAAGAGAACATTTACACAGGAAGATTTTCAGTGAAACTGAATTGCTGTGAACACCCCACGAAGTCAACGACGTCTTTCTCCTTAGCAATTTCTGTTCTTAAAGTGGGACGTCTTTTAACATTTGCTATTTTATTGATGCAGCTGCACAGACGTTTTTTCTGTTCTCTACACGCAGAAGTACACTACATGCAATTTGATAGCAGCTCTAGGCAAAGATTAAATTGGGCCAACGAATAATGAAACTTCATACTTCCTGGTGTCATATTCTAGAGTGAATATATTCAAGTCCCTGATTACTTGAATTTTTAATAATTCCTTCTTTTTTCAGAGTATGTAAATTTTAACAGCATATTCAATGTGAAAATCACTTGAGCTGTTTTTCTTTCCTAAACAAAGCACTCACAAGACACTATGATACAGTCTTTTTCAAAAGTATTTATGCTGTCAAACCCCTCTCTCATGAGCAATACTGAATATTTAATTACTTCTATGGGTGTTTTTATTTTCTTTTTCTTTTTTGTTTGTGCTGGAGCTCCAGATAAAGCTAAAGATAAAAAAGTGCTCTATTCAATACCACTGACCCCAGATCTGGGTTACTGAGTATCTGCAAATGGTGCCAACGCATGAGTGCAGGCTGTTGCACGGTGCGTTCCACACTTCTGGACTCTGAGTAGTGAGTCACACGCGTGCGAGTAACTGGCGCATGAGTAAACTGGCGGCGCTAAACAGAAGGTGTATGCTTCACATGCCCCTCAGTGCCAGTGAGGGTTTAAAATTTCAGGTTGCTCCTCTTGCCCTCTCTTCAGTTCTAAGAAAATTCAGTGTAGAAGTAAGTTGTCCTCCCTGTCTTCCGTGGGTAGGTGGTCATTGTTCTTTGTTATGAGCTGATATTTAGTCAGTGGTTTTTGAAAGTATTGATCTAATGGTGATTCTCAGCTAAACCAGACATTCTTTCCTCTGTTTTCATTGTTCATTCAAGAGTTCAAGTCTATTCCAAACAATTTTCTTTTGGAATGGACTGCCAGCACGCTTGGCCATGAAAAAGACTGCTTTTCTGCTCCTGCTAAGGGCTTACAGCTGCTAGGGAAGATGCCTTTCCACCGCTGTCATTTTATTTTTGTTTTCTTTTATCTCCTGGTCTTTTATTTTCTGAGTCTTTGGTTAAGTCTGCCTTGGTTTCTTAGTCTTGGTTTGTTCACAGTATACTGGGAGTCTCATAACAACTAAAGACAGGAACATCAGGGCAATCTGCCAATTGATAGATAACACATATTTGAGAGGAAATCCCATTTTAATCAAACTTGGATAAATTCCAAAACCTAATCCACGTGAATTTATTAAAACCTCATCTAAGTGGATCTCAAAACACTCCAGTTAGTATTTGAAGATCAAAGGTCCACTACTTTTTTTTAATGTCATGATTGGACCACTTTGAATGCAATTTTGAATGCAAGTTTCTCAATTCTTCACTAAATCGTTTTCCATGGAAACTGCAGAAACTGGTAATATAAATTGTAAAGTGGGCTGTGTAATGCTGAGTTATGCATTTGTCATGTGCTTATTTAATCTTTATCCGCTCAAGATTTTTTAAAAAAAGAATTACCAACATAACTCAAATTCAAAATTATTGGCTGTTTTTGGAAAAGTATGCCTTAAAAAAAAGCCTTCGGAGCTCCACAGCACAATTCATATGTTAACTACCATCATTAATATTTCAAACATGAATGAGATTATCAGTGTAAATTTTAGAGGTTATTTCAAGAGAAACTGAATACCATAATATGTGCATATAGAATACTTTTCCTTCATAAATATCTTCACCCTCCACAAGAACCTGGGGGAGGTCACCAGTCACAGGGAAGGACTAAGAATTAGAAAGTGGCCACTTTTCCTGCCTTCTGTAACTTTCAGAATAACATTGAATATGTTCATTTACAATCATTTTTCCATTCTTAGAGCACAAAGATTAAGTACCAGGGGACTATCACAAGAAAAAGAATTTCTGGTATTAAATAATATTCCAACTCAAACAAAAGTTTGACTGGCAGGGAACAATATTCTGCTGTGGGGTAGAATATAAGTGGGAGGTAGAAGATTATCCTGATAATTTAATAATTTAATGTAACTAATAATTTGCCCACATTGTAAAAGTTTCTGTAATTGATATAATATACTAGTGACTTCTATTTGATAGGTTTAGAAAAAAACAATCTCAGCATAAATTTCATTCAAACAGAATTTTCCTAGTCATATGTACTCTCCTCTGAGGTTATAAAATAATATATTTTACTTTAAATTGCCTCTATCATAGGACTGATTTTGTAGAAACTATATACAACCACTCAAAATTTTTTAAGAATATCATTTAGAATGTGGTGTCTTTTTCTTTTCTTTTTTTTTTTTAAAGGACGTCCACAATTAAATCATAAGTCTTTAGGGCAGTGCCTGTGGCTCAAAGGAGTAGGGCGCCTGTCCCATATGCTGGAGGTGGTGCCAGAGGTGGTGCGTTCAAACCTAGCCCCGGTCAAAAAAAG